AAAAAAAAAAAAAAAAAAACAAAAAACCAACAACAACCCATGTGAGGGCAATGAAAGCAGTTCAAAGCAGGCAGAAACTGGAGAGGTTAACTCTTGAAAGAAGAGAATCACATAAGGTAAGATATATTTTTAACCAGCTTTTCTTCTGTGAGTACTTGACACATTACATGGCACATAAGAGAAAGAACTCAAGCAGAAAACAGGAAAATTACTGAGCTGAAGAATCAAAGACTGGAGCTCAGGGCTAGAAATTAAGTGAAAAAAATCCCTAAAAGGAGGGAGCCATACAATTTGCATCTGAATTCTCTATACGTCTAAACATTTGTGCAAATCTTAGACTATACATGGTAGCTCTTTCTTAATTTATTTATAATGTAGAGATTTTATTAATCTAATGTGAAGAACATTTTAACAAAAAGGTTTTAAGTGTTTAAAAAAATTAAAATTGCAACTAGCCTTCTAAACTGATCCATTACTAATAGTAAAACACAAAATCATATATTAGACATGAAACAGAAGTTAACTCTAAGTAATTTTAGATGATCTAACATTTTGAATCAAGAAAACCAGAAGTTGTTTCTTTGAAAGAATAAACAAGATAGGTAGACCACTAGAGTCAGGTCAACAAAGAAAAAAAGAGGGACAATCCAAATAAACACAACGAGAAATGTCAAGGGTAACTTACCACCGACCCCACAGAAATATTAAAAAACCCTCAGAGACTACCAACACCTCTATGCACACAAACTAGAAAACTTAAACGAATAAATTTCTGGCAACATACAACCTGCCAGGACTTAAGGAAGAAACTGAGGTCCTGGAATAACAAATTCCAAAACTAAACCAGTAATAAAAAACCTACAAACCAGAAAAAGCCCTGGACCAGATGGATTCACAGCCAAATTCTAACAGATGTACAAAAAAGAGCTGGTATTAATACTACTGACATTATTCCAAGAAATTGAGGAGGAGGGACTTCCCATTCACAATAGCCTCAAAAAGAATAAAATACCTAGGAATACAGCTAATTAGAGAAGTAAAAGAGTTCTACAACAAGAATTACAAAACACTGCTGAAAGAAATCAGAGATGACACATATGGAGGAACATTCCATGTTCATGGATAAGAAAAATCAATATTAAAAGTGCCATACTGCCAAAGTAATTTACAAATTAAGTGCTATTCCTATCAAACTACCAATGTCATTTTTCACAGAATTAGAAAAAACTATTCTAAAAGTCACAGAGAATCAAAAAATACCTGAATAGCCAAAGCAATCCTAAGCAAAAAGAACAAAGCTGGGAGCATTACACAACCTGACTTCAAAGTATACTACTACACAGCTTTTACTATAGTAACCAAAACAGCATGGTGCAAAAACAGATACACAGACCAATGGAATTGGTTGGAGAACCCCGAAATAAAGCCACACACCTACAACCATCTGATCTTCGACAACGTTCACAACAACAAGCAATAGAAAAAGAACTCCCTATTCAGCAAGCAGTGCTGGGATAACTGGTCAGCTATACGCAAAAGATTAAAACTGGACCCCTTCCTTTCACTGTATACAAAAACCAACTCGAACTAAAAACTTAAATGTAAGACCTAAAATTATAAAAATCCTACAAGAAAACCTAGATACCATTCTGAACACAGGCCTTGGCAAAGATTTCATGCTAAGTTTCCAAAAACAATTACCAGAAAAACAAAAACAGGCAAATGGGACCTAATTAAACCTAAAGGCTTCTGCACAGCAAAAGAAACTATCAGCAAAGTGAATGGAAAACCTACAGAATGGGAGAAAGTATTTGCAAACTATGCATCCAACAAAAGTCTAATATATGGAATTTATAAGAAACTTAATAAGCAAAAACAAACAACCCCATTAAACACTGGGCAAAGGACATGAACAGAGACTTCTCAGGAAAAAAA